AGCCCAGCCTCTTGCCGCCCGGCTGATCGCCCCTTGCCCGCTTCAGCATCTCCGACTCGGAGGGCAGGACTCAGCGCTGGACCTGCGATCCCTCAAGGCGCGTCCACGCGGTGGCTGCTGACCGTGCAGCTATCCAAGGGCCTAGCATTCAGCTTTGCAGGAGCGGGTTTGGGGAAGTCTGGAGAGATGTTGGACACGGGAGTGCAGGGACACCGGAGTGTGGCTTCTGGCAAAGCTGCAAAGATGGACTCTTGCTCAGAAATAAAAATCCTGTTAATTAAAAAATGAACAAAAAAAGTAGAAGAGACAAACAGAAAACAGAGAAAGGGAACGTGTTTCTGATTACTATTTGAAAGAAGCTGAAATCGGAGAGAGAACCAAGGAACACACACACACAAATTAAAGTATTTTATATGTTTAAAAATATGGAAAAATAACCTGGAAGAATCTCGAGAGAATGGGGGGGGGGTTGGGGAGTTACCAACTGAAAGTGTATGCCCGCCCCCATGGGCAAAGAAGGCAAAACAGAAGGAAGAGGTATACTTATTTAAAGAGTTAAGATTTTTTTAAAAAGGTGCGCAGCTGGGAAGTTCACAGGTTTTGAAACTGACCTTTTTCTGCGAAGTTCATTTTAATACGAGAACTTTGATAAGAGAGGCGGGCCTCCTTTTACTTTGAATCAGATACTTTGAGTTAAAAACCACCACGAACGGAAGAGCAAGAAGAGGGAAGAGAGTATAAAAACAAGGAGAGAAAAAAATGATATTAATACAAAAAAAATGATACCAGAGACAATGATTTCTCTGAGGAAATTACGGCAGAACTGTCCAGGCTGTTGGCAGTAAATTCCAGTTTGCATGTTACTTTTATTCCATTGATGGTGTCTCCCCCCTCCCTGCTTACTCACATGTACTTACTTCATTTTCATCTTCAGTACGAAAAACAATACCAAAAGCATCTGGAAATTGATGTCTATCTATATCTATCTCTATATACTTGTGCCCAGTCTTTGATCCTTGGGGACAAAAGAAAAAAAAGTTGGAAGGGAAAAACTTTACACTCTGATTGTCCCAAGAACACGGAGGCGGGCAGACAATGTGGGGAAAGGCAAAAGAAAACAAAAGAAGACCAAATAAAATAATGAAGGTACAGCGCCTCCCAAGGTGCCCATAGGAGGCCCTCAGTGGTCGTCCCTGTCCCTTCCCCTCCCCCTTTTCTTGTCTACCCTCCTGCTGGTTACCTGCAGTCCTATTTGAGGACCCTGCTTTATTTCCCCCTCTCTATCCCGTCCCACTCACCTTAAACAAAACCCAGCTAGATACAGGCACTAGGTTTCTGTAAAATATGTTGATACACACGAACAAAGTTTATTTTGGCTATAATGTGTGAACTGATGGTTGACTTTCGACATTTGCATTTTATCTCACAAAGGTGTATATTAAAGTACTTTTTTGTTTGTTTCGGTTCATGTAGCTGTTTAAAATGGGATACCCTGGACTAAGCAATCTGTATCCCATGCTCTAGAAAGCCTCCTTAGTTTTTTTGTTTGTTTTTTTTCCTTCTTATTTACAAGAAAGAAGAAAAGCTCTTTTCACTGAACTTGAGTATGCGGTTGAGCTTTGTAACTATTTGTTCTCCATGAAAACAAATTATTTATATTTGCCATATTTTTTCTAGTGTATTAAGTTATTTTAAACAAAAGAAGATGCTGTTATTTCCATGACGTATTGTCGGTACAAAATGTTTCGGTTTCACCTCTGTTAAAACCTTTTAAATAAGTGCCAAGTTATTCATTGAAGACACTTTGCGATCAATTGAATGAAAATAGTATTGTTTCATTTGATGGGGTTCGCGTCATCTTTGTTCCTGTTGTTATTAAACTATCCGAGATAGTCTTTCCTTCTTCCTTTTTGATGAATGTGTATCTGTCGATTACACCAACTTGGAAAGCGCTCACCTCTGCGCCTACAAGCCGCAATCACGGGGCCGTGAGAACAGTGACTCTGTGACACCACACTGAACCAAACTCCCCCTCCCCCATTTTATCCACTTGGCATAGAATCCGGATTTATTTTTACACCAAGTCAATAAAGAAACAAATAATATATAAAATAACAAACTAGAATAACCCCCTTCCCCAAGATGGACTCTCATTCTTCATTTTGCTGCACTTTGACCCTTGAAGAAGTTTATTTGGGACATACTTTGGGTAGGAAGAGAAGCGGAATCACGCGACGCAAAAGTCACTTGGGTTAATTGTGGCATAACTAACACTCAGTCCCAAGTCGCCGACCCTCCCCGGAGATGGGCAGGCGATGATTTGGGGGAGCAGGGCAAGAGCCGCGGAGGGGGGCCAAGGCGCTGGGAAGGGCAGATACCCCACCTCGCCCTCCAGTTTAACTTCTGGACCGAAGCAGCTTCTTGGATTGGTTAAATTTAGGAAAAGGTAGAAGCCAGGACCATGACCGTGATCAGAAAAAGCCGGGTCTTAGCCCTCAGAACACAGAAGAGCCCTTCCCTCCGTCCCCTTTGGGCCCCCTGTCCCATAACAAATCTCCCCAGTAAAGCCCAAAGACGCTGCGGGTCTGGGGGTTGGTAGAAACCGGGAAGATCGTCCCTGGCCCGGCCCGGCCCGGGGCAGAACCCTCCTTCCCCGCCGGGCTCTAGGAATGGGAGGCACCCCCTGCGAAAATCTACCTCTGCGTCCTCTGGCCGCACTCCCGTCTCCCCCACCCGGCCCTCTCCCGTGTTGAGTTCGCATGCAAATCTGTTCCTTGGCGTAGGAAGGGGTGATACGTTCATATTTATCTTTTTGCTTTCAAAGACCAGAGACCAAGACTAGGGACGTCTTCGGCGCGCAGGCCTTGCGCGTCTCCCGACAGACGCGCGTCCCTCGTTTCATAATAAACATCTGCCCGCGGCGGAGCGCGCTTTGAAGCGGCCGCGCAG